TTCCACTTCAGTAAAAATGTCTTGCTGTGGTTGTCACACCTGATGATGATTGCTTGTGTTGCAATCGAAACGTCGTGATTTAATTTATTTTATTTTTTCACCTACGTGACTTTACCGAAAGAACCAAAGAATATCAATAGTGATGTGGTGGTATATCAGTGTGGGGTGTGTGCAGTATCTCGCCAAACTTTATCGTTACATTAATCATGGGGAAAATATTTTCGTTTAACGTGACATTTTTCAGTTACTCATCTGTCGCGTTAAACGAGGAATTACTGGGCAGTATCTAATCAGATGACATTTCTGTAAAAAAAATCCCTTCCTAGGAAGTTGACTCGGTTTGAAATGTCAGCTTATTACACGCGTCATAGTTTATAAGGGATTGCGTATTATTAACAAATGTAGTCGTAGTAGTAATAATTGAGATTTCTCAACCTGAATTATTTCAGCAATCCCAACATACAACTATAGACGTGTGGCCAGTCTCTATTCACCGCTAAACCGATGCTTGCAGCTTAAGGCCACCGTACAGTCAGAATGTAAGTGAAACACCGTTTAGTTCGTGAGCTGTGTTTCTCCGGACATTATGTAGCTTAGACACGCACACGTTAAGCGCGTAACAAAGAACGATCGTGTAACCAACAGAGTCCTTGCTAACGGTTAAAACGCAGCCACGAAGTACAATTGCAGTGTGACAATTTAAGCGCATAAAACTCATGCAAATATGGTTTCCCATAGATGTAATGTTTGACTTTTTCTTTCTCGGAAACGTGATATGGGGTGAGATTTGTTTTGTGTGTGTGTTTTTAACGTGCAAAATAAATAAATAAATAGATTGCTCGGCGGATAAAATAAAAAGTGACTCATTGTCAAGCAGCAGCAGCAGCAGCAACGAAAAGCATAAACGCGTTGTGTTACGTCAGCCCCGCTCAGTCGAGGCGCATTTTTCTCTTACACACACACACACACACCGGTCGTTAATTCACTTCTGAGCCGGGAAATGTGTTCGACGTTTTGGAGTGCCCCCCCCTCCCCTCCTCCACTACCCATCTCTGAAATTTTGCATTACTCATCCGTAATGTCGGCCACCGAGTCAGTCTCATAGCGTCGACAGGGATAGATGGGAAGGGGCGCTAAATGTATGTTGAACTTCTTTCGCACCGTACGTAGCCAACCGCTCTCTGAGCCCCCCATTTCTAAATTCTAGCCTGAACGCTCAGCACCCCCCCTCCCCCTATCTCCGACTTCAAAATTCTCGGTCGGAAATTATTCATCAGCAGTGGAGTGTTGTTGTTTATTTGCCGCGTTGGCGAACGCACCGCACGCAGCCAACCGCGCCAATCGGAGGTACGGGGGGTGGGGGGGAGAACAGCAAACTGAACACAAAAATCAGTTCTAAATAAATGAGTTTTCAATCGAGATTATTTAAAAGCGCGTAGCCCCAGTGGCTTCCTAAAATCGGAAGGAAGAACGTTCCAGACGGCCGCAGAAGCGCATCTGAAAGCGCCGCGCGATGCGCTGACCGCCGCCGTCGTCTTTGTTCGACGGTTGAGCCGAAAGCCACTTGCAGTGAGGATGATCGGAGTTTCGCGTGATGATGGTTTATGCTCCTGATATGCCCCTGTGCGTCTCTTCCTTCCGTTCGCGGAATCTGTGCCCTGACGCACAAACCGTCTGCAGTAGCCAGAGGGAGCTAAGGACAAATGCACAACTGAGTACGATGGAAGCGTGGGTGTCTTCACAGCCTTACCTCGCAATACGTATAGGGGGCGACAGCTGCAGTAGAATGCACGATAGATAAACATCATCATATCGTTACTTATTCCGCCTCGTGTTTTATCACAAATTGAACGTATAATAATACTTTCATTTTATACAGCGCCATTAGTGCTAATAGCATCCCATAACGCTATATATTAATTATATATAATGAACACATTTCCATATACAGCCACGAGCAAGCACGAGGAAATCCTACCAAGCAAAATAAAAAAATAAAGAAAACAAATGAAGAAACGGAAACAAAACAAAAAGCACGTTTAACATTGAATCTGAATAGTTATTTATACTGAGGAATCCGATGAGCTATAAAGCTCTTTTTCACAGATGTCTAATTGGGGCGGGTAAGAACTTTACAATAACAACCAATACAAAGTCATGTTTGAAGTGCAAATTATAGCAAAGGGAAACAAATAACTTTTCAAAAAGATATACGAATTAAACTAAACTTTTTTTTAGCTTACCAGATAATGCCCACTGAGCTATTAGCTTATTTTTCAGAAGCGACCTGGCTATAGATGACAACTCAACGAAGTGGCTTATCAACACGTGGAAATTTATAGCAGCAAAGAATAATCACCTAAAAGCACGTGTCGTTGATGAGAATGCACATACAATATAAATGTGACAGCACCTGAGAGTATTATTTTAAGAGGCCCAGACTCAAAGCCCTATCTGGTCCAAGCCACCTCTGCCCAGCTGGAGCAAGCTGTGAGACCAGCGGAAAACAGGTGGGAGAACGAGGTCATCGTTTTTAAATGCCACAGATTAAATTGTTTTATAATTCAGCACACGTTGGCTATGAGGGAGACAGGGTTAAAGCTCTTGCACAGCGTTCACGGTGTCCTGTTATGGTATGTAAATTCATTATTGATGAGCAGGTTATATCAGCCAAGTTATAAACCAAGTCAGTCGAAATGCGCCAGAACTCGTCAGATCTGTGAATCTCAGTCGGGTTTTTTGGGGCCTGGATATTGCTTCGATGCGTGACCATCGTCCACATCCATGTTGGTGATGCTGCTGTTACTGCTACGTTGGCTGCGGTGCACAAGCACAGTCAACAATAACAAACGCAACACATTCGTCAGTAACACAGCCCTTTTGGGGACGTTTTAGGAAATTACCCTTTGATGTGCTCAGATATGGCACCGATTGGTGAGCCAGAAAACAGCACCGGGAAAGGGTTAAGAAGGGCCGTTGCCACATGGTGCCAGCAGTTTTACTAAGTTTCCCTGCTATCTTTGCCTTTGGTACAGTAGGGACACCAAGGCGCACTACCACAGGCGGGACTGGCCACAGCGGACCGAGTTCTCTGTGGGGAGGAACAACGTCAAGTGGGAGCCACTGGTGGACCCCCGGAAGGTGCTGATGCCACCACTGCACATCAAATTGGGCCTTATGAACAATTTGTTAGAGCTGTAGATAAGGAGTCGGCAGCCTTCAAGTACCTTCAAAACTTCTTCCCTAAGCTGTCTGAGGCAAAGGTCAAAGCCAATGTCTTGGTCGGACCACAGATAAAGAAGATCCTGGATAGCAATGAATTCCCCAAGAAGCTCACTAGTAAGGAGAAAGCGGCTTGGGACAGCTTTGTCGCAGTGGTTCGTGGCTTCCTGGGCCATCACAAGGTCGAAAACTACGTGGGGCTGGTTGAGACTCTGGTGAAGAACTACGGCACAATGGGCTGTAGGATGTCCCTCAAAGTCCACATCCTTATGCTCATCTTGATAAATTCAAGGATAACATGGGACCGTACTCGGAGGAGCAAGGCGAGCACTTTCACCAGGATATACTGGACTTTGAATGCTGCTACCAAGGACAGTGTAACGAGAACATGATGGGAGACTACATTTGGGGCTAATTGGTGAAAGTGATTTACAGTATAATCGTAAATCTCGAAAAACTACTCACTTCTCAATCTTTTGTAGTAATTTTCTTTGATCACTTTAGTATATACGTAAATTTTGATTCATGTTGTTTTTTTTCCTGATTTTGTGAACGAAAAGACACAAATTCGCCCGTTTTATCATTGACAATAGGTACATTTCTAAATATCACTGTCCTGGTCACAAAAGCAAAATTTGTGGGGAATAAAAGCCATTTAAAAAAAAAATACTTTTTAGGCATAAGCAATTACGAAATAACGCTTACTACCCAGGAACACAAAGTGTGTTACGTGGTGTTACCAAGTGTCCCTCTCGGCCACACCTGATGTGTGTGTGCGGGCGGAGCGGGAAACCCGCAAAAGCCGGAACGGAATCCGCTCACGGACGCGCAAACTCCACCGCTCTGGGATCCGGATTTGCGGGCGGCGGACTCTACCATTCCAATCGGGGGGGGGGGGGGAGGCAACTGAACAACTCCCCTATATTCTTGGTTCTTTCGGTAAAGTCACGTAGAAGGGAAACAATAAAATAATAAAAAACGCCACTTTTTTCAAATTACTTTGTTGTGGTTTTCACACCTGATGATGATTGCTTGTGTTGCAGTCGAAACGTCGTGAGAATTGTATTGTTCTATATATATATTTTATCATTTTATTGTTTCCCTTCTACGTGACTTTACCGAAAGAACCAAGAATATAAATCCCTGCAAGTCACGAAAGATTTAAATCAAAACTCCCCCGATGCTGGTTTTCAATCGACTGCCCCCATCACAGCCGCAATCGATAAAAAAAAATCCGGTTTCAATTTACTCACGAAGCCGTTTATTGAGTAGTATTATTAATTAACAATTAACCAATGTTATATTCTTAGCTCTTTCGGTAAAGTCACGTTGAAGGGAAACAATAAAATAATAAAATACACATAAAATAATAAAAATTCTTACGACGTTTCGACCATAACACAAACGGTCGTCATCAGGTGTGTCGGTTTATAAATTGCATTAATTTATAACAAATAAATTAATGCAATTTATAACAAATAAATTAATGCAATTTATAACAAATAAATTAATGCAAACCGACACACCTGATGACGACCGTTTGTGTTATGGTCGAAACGTCGTGAGAATTTTTATTGTTTCATATATATTTCATTATTTTGTTGTTTCCCTTCAACGTGACTTTACCGAAAGAGCTAAGAATAAGAATTACTGCAGTCACGAAAGCTTTAAATAAAAAAATTTAAACCAATGTTACTCGTTATAGTAAAGGGGCGTGGTATAAGATAGGTAAAGGGGCGTGGTATAACATAGGCGTGGTAGAGTCGTCGATTCCTCCCCCCCGATCGCGGCGCTCTTGTTGTCGCCCACACCGGAAACGCTCGCCCGCCATCTTGGCTCTTGTCCGCTAAGCGGTTCTCGCTGGGACGCGGCGGCGGCGGCGGCTCGAGGCTCTTTAGACGCTCGCGGTAAAACAAAAAAAAACATTTACAACAACAACAACAAACGCAACAGCGACTTTAATTGCTCCAACCACTTCGCCGGCCGTCGTTAAAAGTTGCTGGCGGAGTCGACGGGTAACGCCGCTGCTCGCTCGTTCGGTGTTGAGTGAAAATGTTGAGGTGAGCGGCTCTTTATAATTTTTTTTTAGGTGGGTGGTGGGTGGAGGGGTGGTGGTGGTGGTGGTGGCCTTCTGCCGCCTCTCCCTCACAAGAGTTTATTTCGTTTAAAACAACATGTCTAACTCGCACTTTATCGCCTTTTAACTGCCGGTGACTTATTAATCCGTTGTTGTGAGTGCCGCGAGGGTGACTGCTGGCGGTGGCGTCGAGGGCCGCCGTGGGCCTCGGCGAGGTTCAATGCGTGAGACTGACACACAGCCGGGCGTGAGACTGACACACAGCCGGGCGTGAGACTGACACACAGCCGGGCGTGAGACCGACACACAGCCGGGCGTGAGACTGACACACAGCCTGGCGTGAGACTGACACACAGCCTGGCGTGAGACTGACACACAGCCTGGCGTGAGACCGACACAACCGGGCGTGAGACCGACAGCCGGGCGTGAGACTGACACAGCCGGGCGTGAGACCGACACAGCCCGGCGTGAGACTGACACACAGCCGGGCGTGAGACTGACACACAGCCGGGCGTGAGACTGACACAGCCGGGCGTGAGACTGACACAGCCGGGCGTGAGACTGACACAGCTGGGCGTGAGACCGACACAGCTGGGCGTGAGACTGACACAGCCGGGCGTGAGACTGACACACAGCTGGGCGTGAGACCGACACAGCCGGGCGTGAGACTGACACACAACCGGGCGTGAGACTGACACACAGCTGGGCGTGAGACCGACACAGCCGGGCGTGAGACTGACAGCCGGGCGTGAGACTGACACACAGCCGGGCGTGAGACTGACACAGCTGGGCGTGAGACCGACACACAGCCGGGCGTGAGACTGACAGCCGGGCGTGAGACTGACACACAGCCTGGCGTGAGACTGACACACAGCCTGGCGTGAGACTGACAAACAGCCGGGCGTGTGAGGGTTGTTGCGTGCAACAGCCGTCACGAACCGCGTAAAAGAATCTGCGTGAGACTTAACAGACGGTGTTGCGAGTGTGAGACTGGAACAGACGACGCGAGAGAATCCAGAGAGAGAGACCCAGAGAGAGAGACACAGAAATATCCAGAGACAGACACAGAGACCCAGAGGGAGAAACACACAGTCCACGTATGTTGCAAGACAACATTCTCGTGTGTGTACGTGTGTGTTTTATTCGCTTTGTATATCTCTGGACAGATATCGAAGGCCCTCAGTGGTGCTGGAGAGCGTGAGCTTTGTTGCTTCGAATGCGCGAGATAGTCGGGATCTGTCTGGGTGTTTCTGTGATGACACTCAGAAGCTTCAGGGAGAGAGGGAGATGGAGGAATGTGACTTTGGACCATGAGCGAAGCCTCGTTATTGTGCTGAAAACATGTGTTTTAAAGTATTTCATATTGCGTTTTAGTAACTTGCAGCCCTTTTCCAATCAACTGCTCGAGGTTTGTGTCATGCGCTGAGTTGATTAATGTCAACGCCTAGCGACTGAACGCAAGTTAAAATGTGCCGAGGCCTCTATCTTTGGCTAATGCTGTACGGAGACTTCCATAGCGCCGTGTCATCGTAGGACTTTGTATTTTAGTGGCCAATAGATTGAACTAAAGCCTGATTGTTGTCAAAGAGTCACCGATATCGTATCTTTCCCCTTAGCTGTTACAAATAATTACTGGAGTCGATTTGGTGGTGGTTTACAACTACCAGATGAAATGGCCCGTGGTTCATTCGTCACGCACATGACTCAAGGGCTCTTTACACTCATCATTGTTTTTGGTGTGGTCGTTAAAAGTACACTTGAAGAAATCAAAACTTCACTGACGAATCTTTTCCTGGTTCAGGCCTGGTAGTAGACCGTGGCAAGGTAAAAGTTAATGAGTAATATTTAAAATACTTTTTTTTAAAACACGCTTTAATTAAATGTACCGTACGAGTAATGGCAGAACTCCACGACTCCAGGAAGTGGCCCCGAAGCTCGCCATAACGTAAGGGAACCGTAGTGATTTACTGCCAACGTGAGTTGAGCGTGGACTAATAGACCCAAGCCGAAACATAACATGTAAAAAATATTGCTTAAAAATATATATTTTTTAATGATAGACTACAGTATTGTCATCAGTATGACATGCGTATACCAAGTTTGCAGTCGAAACCACATTGGGAAGTGGGTTAAAATTGAGTTACAAGATTTGAGGATATGACAGCAGACAGAGTTCAGGATACAACAGACAGAGTGAGTTAAATAAAAGCGTGTAAAAAGCAATGAGCCTACCTTTACCCTACCTTTTACCCTTACCCCATACAAATTACCCGATTACAGGGTTATTACCGGGGTACCACACATGAAAAAGGTTTATAACAGGTAAATTCTAGGTAGAGCGCTTTATTCGTATAGAATACTCTCGAATCGGGCGTTGAGGCTGTCGACGACACCGTCCTCCATAACCTCCTCGTCCCAGTCGTCTTGGTCGATGACGATCTCATCAACAACCTGATCAAGTTCGTCATTGCCGTCGTCCTCAGACGAACGACAGGCAATAGGATCCCGTGCCGCTCCGTTCCAGTTAGACGGGACCTTCAGGCAGCCGGCCGCGATCCACGAGCGCAAGCACGTGGATTGGATGAAGAGTGTCGATGACAGCGACTGGCGAACGCGCGTGAACTCCCGCCCAGCTCCGCTATTCGCGCGTTCGCAGGGAGTTGACGTCGCCGGTGCTCCCATGTAGTCGCAGGCCATCTTGTAGTGGGCATGGAGCAGCTCTTTGCGGGGAGACCACCACTGCATTACGTCAATGAAGGTGCTGGCGGTCGTGACGACCATGCTCAGAAACCGATCGACTTCATCGCCGTCGTCGATGTAGCTGCCGACGTTGCTGAACAGGGTGCTGAACAGGGACCCCTCCATATGGGCAGCGACTGCCGTCGGCGGGATCGCGAGCACGTCCGAGTAGCGATGCTGCAGGACAGAGTGGATCGTGGACTTCAGTGTAGCCAGCTCGTCTTGGTCTGTCGTTTTCGGCAGCTGTGGATTCAAGTAGGATGCCACAATGGAGGGTTCCTGAACCAGGAAATCGCGGTACCGCACCAGCTCGGCCTTCATCCCCGTCGCGGTCAAGGACTCATCGATCGCAATGACGGATCAGGAGCTCCATCGTCACCGGCATGAGATCCAATGTCGACTTGCGGTCTGCCGCCAACGAAATCATCACCTGGCGCGGCATTCGCAGGAATGCTGTCACGCCCTCGATGTTTGCCCACTGTAGTTCAGAGAAAGCACCGACGTCGATCGCATCCTGGAAGCGCGCCATGATAATGTCCAATGGGACACGCTTTTTGATGGCGTCGTCGCCCATGTCAAACGTCGAATTCCATCTGGTCGGCGAGTCCTGGTGCGTCGGCTCCTCGCTGGCGAGCTTGGCGATCTCGGCCTCGCGGCGGTACGACTGCCTGGACGACCTTGCTTCGCCTGATATTGACGAGCACTTTGCGCAGTTCGGCGTTGGTCGACTTGATCAGTTTGAGAATTTGGACGACGCCGATCTGGACCTATCCCCGCAGCGAATATAGTGGCAAGCCCGCAACTGCTCATCCAGCGTCCGCGTTGACCAGGGCGAACAACGTCTTGACAGCACTGATTGCATCGGAGCCATTGTCGCTGGTGACAGCGAGCAGCTTGGTCGAGACATTGCGCCCGAGGCTTTTGAGGTGCTCAAACAGAGTGGTGCCAATGCGCTTGTCGACACCCCTTCCGGACTGTACATTGAGGATCGTCGGCAGCATGGATTTCGACGCACCAGATTTGGTGTCCATCCAGTGCACCGTGACCATCCAAAATCCCTTCAGGTTGCAGTTCGACCACCCGTCGATGGTGAGCGAGATGGCGACGTCCAGGTTGGAGAAGAACGCCCCGACGATGGGCAGCATGATGGCGTGATGCTCGACAATCCTGCAAATGATGGTGCGGGTTGACGGGCCCTAGTATCCATGCGTCATTGTGTGGACCAAGGTCTTGAACTTGTCGCTGCCGGCGGCTCGCAAAGAGAATCCACCTTGGATAACAAAATCAACCACCGCGTTCTCAAACTTTACCAGGAGGCGATCCGGAATTGCTGGCCGGCTCAGCGTTTGCTGCATTAGGCGGCTCGCCGACGCCGACCTCCCGACCTCCATCTAATCGTGCGTGTGCTCCCACGGGAACGCACGCCACTGCCTCTTTCGATTGCTGTTCGTAGCGATCCCAAAAATGCCGTTGCTGGCATTCTCGACCTCATCCTCTACCTCAAGAACGTGGTCCGTCTCCATCTGGTCCGACATCAATGCTTTCACATTTAAAATGGAGCCCACGGACTGCGCCACGGAGCTTTTAACGAGCGGTAAACAGGGTATTTACCGGGTAATACTTCGCTACCTTTACCCTACCGGGTAATTCTTCCGCGCTACCTTTACCCTACCCTTTACCTTGCTCCTTGGCATGGTCGACCCTTTTACCCGGTAAAAAAGGTAAATTACCTTACCTTGCTGAGGCCTACCTAGTAGGCAATGATTAGTGCTTTTTTTGCGTGGTCTGGACAGTAATTGTCACAACTTTTCGTTCATCTTGAGAATCGCAAACAGCACCCTCCCTCTTCTATATGGTGGATAACAACCTCGGTGCGGCTCGTGCTTGTCACTACACATATAAAATCATTCAAGTACCGTGTACCTACATTTATACATCACTGTTCACGTCTGTGTCCGTTTCACAGACTTTTCTCGTAGCCGTGTTAATTCGAAACGTTTATTTCATTGACTTTTAAGACGTATAGGCGAACATTGCTTGACTGGGGAATACGTACGCAGCCCATCCCAGATGACTAACATCGATTCGTTCGTTCATTCCTGTGTGTAGTTTTTATACGTTTGTGTTCTTTTTTCAACACGTTATTTAAAGTTACGAAACATCTCAAAGTGCTCTATTGCCACTTGCGCTTGGTCACAATTGCACGCTGGCGAAACAGTCTGTAGTAGTGGTTACCAATCTGTGGTTTGGTGACCACACGGGTTGGAAATGGTTTGCAGAACTTTCCAATATTTTTCACAAAACAATATATTTTTATGCTTGTTGCCACCTACATGTTTTTTTAGGGGTCACGGTGATTCCATAAAGATTGGAAACCACGTGTGTGTTTTTTTCATAGTTGGGGGCGCAGGTGGTGCATTGACCAGTCATCTCAATCACTCAACCCATAGCACCTGGGTCTGTCCCGTGGCCTGCCAGCGGGCCTTTGACACTTCAATTGCCCCTTAAAGTGCATCTAGCCTGGCACAAGCGCCGTGGTTACGTCAGCGCCACTTAGTGGCGAATGACGGTTGTTTTTTTGGCAGACTGCTAAATGCGTTGAAGTTTGTGACGTTAATGTTAAACAGAATGGGTTTGTCATTTGTTTTTCTTTGGTTCCATCTCCAAAAATAACGAGACAAAGTCCCCCGAAACTAAAAATAACACTTTCGCTTGTGTTCCGTATCGGTGCGCTGTAATTCTTGGGGTGGCAGTCTTCAAATGTTCCTGTGATTTCGTTGTCTCGGTATACGTAATTTTCTGCAACTTCGAGCATGTGTGTATCTTGGTAATCTGCAGTGTGCAGGTACAATATATGTGCATGTGGGTACAATATGTGCATGAGGGTACAATGTGCATGAGGGTACAATGTGCATGCAGGTACAATTAGCATGCAGGTACAGTATGTGCATGCACACTGGATTGAGGGCCACCCCACGCCATGCGAGTTTTGTTGTGGTTATTTAGAACTGCCTTTTGTGTTTTCGTTTGTTGTCCGACCCCCGCACCTCCGATTAGCACAGTTCACGTTCGGTGCGAAATAAGTTGCTCGCGATGTTTGGTGAAGGCGGAAAGCAAAGGAGTACACGACAATGGAATTTTCTTGCACTGACCTCTGTCCACCACATAGCCAGCACTGCAGCCTGCAACACTTGTATGCATTTCAGTATCTTATCCAAGCATTATCCAGGCTCAAACCGGCCTAACTTCTGAGGTCTGACGGCTCGGGCATTTCCTGGGTGCTTTCTTGCACATGCCTGCGTGTGTATTGAACACGCGACGCGAGTAAAGCTCAGTGTCTCGAAAACATTGACAGATAATATTAACTCGTCCTTAACAGAGGTTCCATCGCGTAAATATAAATGTGTCGTTTACACCCGCCACCACCCGACCATAGTCAATTATGTTTGTCAAGTAAACAAAGCGACAGCCTACGTGTTAAACCAATCTTAACTCAATTCATAAACCACAGCAGAATGTAGTGTAGGAGAGATGCGCTCCTGTCACAGGAATGTCCATTCTAGAACTGGCACAGTACTGCAATGGTAACTGAGCACCACTCTACCGTCATTTGAACAATGGGGGAAGATGGCTTTAACTTTCTGACTTTTATCAACAAATTTACAAGACAAATTACCTTAAACGCTACCTTTGTGCAACGCTAAGCCATGTCTCCCGGGGTAATGTGTGTCAGCGGACTCTGGACTGGTTAAATAAAGGCCAGTGACTTTGAATGTACCTGTAATCGTGCTGTATTAGTATAGAAATGGCCTCAAATGTTGTAGTTACTGCCTGCAGAAGTTGGAGCGGCTCCAGTAATTACGTGACGTTCATCGTTCTCAGTACCCTCATATTTCGCAGAGGTGTGTTTTGCAGGAGGCTTATTTTATTTTTTATTCCTTTTGTGGAGTGTGGTCAGAAAACTTAAGGCGTGTGTGGGGGCTTTGTGCGAGCCAGAACTGGTCCTTGAGAAGTACAGTGCCGTGCCCTCACCAGTTTACATCAACTCGTTGTAAAGTAGTTACGTGCGCGGGCCCCTTTGGTAATGAGCTGAGCAGCGAGTTGTGGGGTCGGAGAGCTGTGCTGGAGCGAGAGAGAAAAAAAACTTGTTCCGCATTGCTGCATTATTCATAAACACGTAGTGTGAAACTACTGATGGAACGTGACTTAACACGGATCAAAGATGCAAGCGTTTACCAGGGATCTGTAAACAAGGCATAATGTAAATGAAATACTTTATTTTTGCATCGTGTTTGCGTTCCAATATTATACGTTTCCCCAGGGGCGGAGCCAGGGGGGGTGACAGGGGTGACATTCTGCGTGTAAGTGTACGACACTCGGTCTGGCGGGCTCCGTGCAACTGCATTGTCAGAGCGTGTCGCCAACCGATGGCGTCTAGTTCAGCAGCCTGACTCTCTAAATCATTCTTGAAATTAAAATTTGTTGAATGTCACCCCGGCCTGAAATCCTGGCTCCGCCCCTGCGTTTGCCCCTTGACTTGTTTTTTGCCGAAGCACGATGTTTCGCCTCGAAATGCTTGGAAGAGTTGCCTGCATTTAAAAAAAAAGTCTCGTCGCTGTCTTGTTTCTCGTGCAATTGAGCGTTGTGGCGTGCCGCTGCGTTGGCTGCCACGGTTCTGCTTCGTGCCTCTTGGATGAGTTTTGCGGTTGTTCCGCATGTTTCGGCATGACATCTGACAATGCACCACACGTGCCGGCAGCTTCCTCAATGACATGCTGGGAGTGAAACGTCGGACATCGTGTAACACAAACACGATGCACAGCCTGAATACAGATGGGAGCTAAGCATTAGGGCAGTGGCCCACCACCTCTCTTGCTATAACTTTGCCATTCCCATCGTAGAGTTTTCATAGGATGACTACTGCTGCCTTTTGAACATCTTTCTTGAAATGTAACTATTTTCTCATTGTACGTAGCCAACCTTGCTAATTGGAGGTGCAGGACGAAGTATGGCGTGTATTACGTTTGTATGCACGTAATTCTAAATTGTCACTCAACTTTATGTTTGTATGCTTTTTTCTACAGCTGCTGTTTAGCGCAGCTTCGTGGGACCTTTTGACGCTCGGACAACGCCAGTGATCCTGAACCTAAACGGCCTTACAATAAAACATTAAAAAATCGCGACAGAGTAAAAAAAAAAACACACAGACCGAGAAATCTTCCTCCCCCGTTAAAAAGCGAAACGCAACCGAGAGCATTTTGCTCTTGCTCAAACAATTCTTTGACCCCCGGTTAACTCGTACGGCTTTCAAAACGGACGGCGCAATGGCCACCTCCTCGCTCCGGCGGCAGATGAAGAACATCGTCAACAACTTCTCGGAGGCCGAGGTGAAGGTGCGCGAGGCGACGTCCAATGACCCGTGGGGTCCCTCGAGCTCCCTGATGTCCGAGATCGCCGACCTCACCTACAACGTGGTGGCCTTCTCGGAGATCATGAGCATGATCTGGAAGCGCCTCAACGACCACGGCAAGAACTGGCGTCACGTCTACAAGGTAATGGAGCGCGCGCGGGTTTGCGAAGAGAGTAGCAACGTGTTCTTGGGGAAATTCTTGGTTAACCTGGGTTATTAAAGGATTGCTCTTGGCTAGGCCGACAGCACGATGTTGTTGGCCGCCCCCAAGATTCGGCAATCTTCAAGAATAAGTATATTTATTGCTGGGGGAATCCGATGAGCTACAGAGCGCTTTTTCGCAGATGTCCAGTAGAGGCACGGGGTCAGAACGTTGCAACAACAAACAATGCAAAAACACAACACAAGTCGAAAGTATAGGAAAGGTAAACATAGATGCGGTAAGCCCAGCCTTACGGGGCTGTAAGGTGGCGCCTGGAAAAGGTGGTACAGCAAGTAGGTTGTTGGCCTACAATAGTACGTGTTTTCAGTTGGCAGTGTTTAGCCATCCTTTAAAAATGTATAAATCCAGGAAGCTGCTCACTAAATCTCAAGACATTTCCAAGATGGTCTTGCATGTGAATGCAACGAAGCCAATGCCATTTATGAGTCTTTATAGCATGTGGGCGTTGGCCAAAGTATCTGCAGAAAATCAATTTCTTGTGAGGTGATAACACTCAATGATCCGCACAGACTGTTTAATCAACCAATTTTCAGTTCTGATATATCCAGACAGCAAAACCTCATGAAAAAATCTGGAGACTCGCTCTGTGGCCTTCCTCGGTAATCAAAGGATTATTCTTATATAGCTCGCACAAGGGATCATGGGATTGTAAAGCTATTCACACAAGCGGCCGTGTAAGGTCACATTGCCTTTTCGAGCTGGGTTCACATTGATATTTCTGGCAGTGAAATGGCTATCACGTCCTTGTATGAATTTCACTGCTTTTAGTGGTCATCAGCATAGCAGAGTGTGAGATTTGATCGTTGCCGGTCTCTGTACATTGGTTACTTCTGTCCAAGCCGAATAGGATCTTTCAAAGACCGGGAGTTGACATTGCGCTTTTTGGCTTTGTCGCAAATAATTTTCCGTTACATTGCACACAAACCATCGACGTGAATTATTAATTAGGTGTGGTCAATCGTGCTGTATTTTTTCTCTCAGTTTTTTTCCTCTCCTTCCTCCTCCTGCCACCCAACCTAGCGATTACGCCAGGGTGTGGCCCATGGATTTAACGTGCCATTGCATGAGTAAAGTCCAAGCCATTAGCGTGGCTCTTTATCGGCCTCGTTGGACTTGTGGGAAATCTGAGCTGGTTCGATTGGGAGGGGGGGACGTGTAAATTCAACCTTGGTGTCACAACGGCCGGGTGCACAAGGCTGAGGGGACAGATCATCGTGAGCAGGCAATTTTTATTGTCTGTTCACCGCTGCTCTCTCTTGAGGCGGCCAACAAATTGAAGCCGCATTCAGTGCGTGGTGTGTGTAAATTTTGGGCGTGCTCATTGAAGATGCTGATGGATGTGGAGGTAAAACCGAAAGACAACTTGGTGTGGTTGAATGTATTATCTTTTATTGCAACTGGCTGGCACGGGGTCGAGGCGTTGGTCGATCGCACAGAATGCACATCCCATGTCGGTGTTAAACTCCAGTACTCGTGCCACACGGTGGTTAAACTCTTTCTCCTCCGTGCTTTTGCATTACTTAGAAACAAGTATCACATCATCGATGGTATCAAATAGAGATAGAAATCTTACAGTATAACCGAAGCTGCATATTTGTGGCGTGACTTTTTTCGGCAAGATGACAGATCCCACAGATTGTTCGCATAATACAATGATCTTTTACAGAAATGAGTGCGGATTTTGAACTGTTTCTTTAAAATATTTTGTGTTTATATTGTGCCATTTTATATACCGCTGCACGGAGGCACATATATTCAGTAGTTTTTGGATAATCGCCGAGTGTTTACCGCCTACTCTCAACAAACCCACCACTGTTAATTCCTCACCCCCCTCAACCCCCCCCCCCGTGTCCACTGGGGTCGGGCCCTCCGTGACTCGCGCAGGCCCTGACGCTGCTCGACTACCTGATCAAGACGGGCTCGGAGCGCGTGGCGCAGCAGTGCAAGGAGAACATCTTCGCCATCCAGACGCTCAAGGACTTCCAGTACGTAGACCGCGACGGCAAGGACCAGGGCGTGAACGTGCGCGAGAAGTCAAAGCAGCTGGTGGCGCTGCTGCGCGACGAGGACCGGCTGCGGGGCGAGCGTGAGCACGCGCTCAAGACCAAGGAGCGCTTGGCGCAAGGCGCCACGGGCATGGGCAGCAACAACAAGGTGACGTTCGGCCGAGGATCCAGCCAGCCCAACCTGTCCACGAGCTACTCGGACGAGTACGGCAAGGCGGGAGGATCGCCGGCGTCGTACCACGGCTGTGAGTGAAAACCCTTATGAATATATAACGAGCACGCTGTATACAAGCACAGCTCTCGATATAAGCAACACATGCTTGCGATACGCTTTATTAACACGTAGGCTTTCGCGACAAACGTAAATAAATCTTGATTTGAAGTTTTCGTGACTGCAGGAATCCATACTCTTTGGTTCTTTCGGTAAAGTCACGTAGGTAGGAAAAATAATAGATGACGACATTTCGATCGCCACACAAGCAGTCGTCTTCACTTGAAGACGCCACAGGCAGAAGACGGTTGCTTGTGTGGCGATCGAAACGTCGTGATCTATTATTTTTTCTACCTACGTGACTTTACCGAAAGAACCAAAGAGTATTATAACTAACGTTTTTTTGTGTTAGATTGCATAAATATAAATGTGTCGTTAACCCACCACCACCCGACACAGCCAGTTAGTAAAGTTTGTCACGCAAACAAAATGTGCCAATGAGTGTACTACTTCAGCACACCGGCGTGTTGGAGAGTGAACCCACAACATTTACAATTTGTGGTGTGTTAACCGACACATTTATATTTACGTGCTTTCTCCCAAAAAAAACTCCTTTATTATGAATTGCAATACACAGAAGGCAGAGGGAAACTTTCGTTTGATCATACTTTTCGATGTAAGCACAGTTGGCCTTGCGCCCAACGTGTGTGCGTATAACCAGCCTCTGTTGTACCATACTTTGGGATGTCAACGGTGCTTGCTATGTGGAGAGACTGGCACTCACCTTTTGGAATGTGGAATTTCCACTACTTAATCATTTGAGTGGGGGGGGGGGGTGTTGGCATATTGGATTTTATTCTGTCAGCAAACAAATTCTGAATTCTGATGATGGTTGTTGGCAGTAGTAAATTTTTTTGTGTTAATGAAGAGTAAAATAAATATTCTTGGTTCTTTTGGTAAAGTCACGTTGAAGGGAAACAATAAAATAATAAAAAATATATAAAACAATAAAATTCTCTCGACGTTTCAACTGTAACACAACGTTATGAATCACTGCAGTCACAAAAGCTTTAAATCAAGAAGAGTAAAATGTCCAGTATTAAAGCAGTTTCCCCAGTGTTCTTTCTAGAGATTCAGCTTGTCGTGATTATGGCCACAGCTCAATTACCGTTTAATATTTAATAATATGTGTTTTCACTTGAGTTTCAAACAGATGTGAATATGACAATGGCCAGCTTTGCTCATGCTTTAAAAAAAAATCTCATTTCGAATCTGATATATATTTAAACACCTGCCTGTTCTTTATTTCTGAATTTTACGAAAGAAAATGGTTGATTTTTTTTATCAAGATTTTCCTTGACGTGTATTTTGAAACGTTGATCCTTTCTGCTTGCGTGGAAAGCGGCTGGTCCTGTATTTTCACTTTTTGATGCTCAGAGTCCACATGCTTGCCTAGTCCGCATGTCCTCCACTAATGTTTGCAATTTGGTTTACATTTCCAAGCCACAGTTGGTCGTGTAGGCGGCATTAATAATTTGTGTGTGTGCCATTAAAACTTACAAGCCTTTAGCTGTGACCTTGTAGACTACACTCAGAAAAGCCAGCACCACTTGCGAATGCCAGGTTTTTCTAATTTCGGTGAAAGCAAAACGGTCAAGTTTGGAAGGGGTGCGAAATTATTTCTGATCACAGTGTACCGTTCCCACACTGCACCTCTGGAGATGTAACCGCTATGTGCGTGTCACACAATGTCTCCCCGGTCTGCCGAGAGACAAAGCAGTCTCCGTCTTTTTTTTATTCAAGGACGACTTTGCTCAGCAGCGGAGGAGTTTGCTAAATTAAAGAAAAGCATAGAGCGACTGGGTGTGTGGCGACAAGGCTTTGCACAGCGGGACGGGGGGGCTCTTCAATTAATCTGCAGTGGGGAGAGAGGGCTCAGCCGCCCTGAATACCAACCCGGTGGAACCGACTGTAGTGGTAGAATTCTTGTGCGCAGGATGGTGGAGGGTTGGCTATGATGCGGGCGTCGGAACGATGTCCAGAGGTCAGCGACCTGCGGGGTAGGCCCTAAAACTGAATGGTGTAGGATACCGTGATACCTGGTATAAAGTTTGCTGCTTCTTTGAAATTGTGTAGTGAATTGCAAGCAGGCGAAAAATAACCAGTGCAGTCTTTAACTGTCGCTGAAAAGAAATAAGATGTTGATGGTTTCCACCAGCTAGCCTTCTTGACTACTTTAATGGCGCAACTCGAGGTCAGGTGTTGACGATAAAAGAAGACCGCGATGGTGTGAGGTGTGTTTACATCAACTACCTGTGACTACATCCTGGTGCTGACAATGTGAAATCTATACTGAGGAAAAGCCTCGCCAAGTCCAAATTTCCTCGTCTCGGAAAGTCTTGCATGTCAAATGTTTGACCATTTTATTTTCAACAAATGTTTTCTATGCGGAGAGAAATGAGAGTATCTGGAGCAAACCCACGCGTACAAGGGAATAACACTCACAATTCTGCATGGATGTGTCAACTCGAGAGCCCACTTTGCTGCAGTTGCATATCCTGCCCATCTCACAGTTCTGCCGGTTTTGGAGTCGCTGCACTTGGCAAACTAACATTTGAAGCAGAACGCTCCTCGAACAAACCAAAAAATAAGCAAAGTGTCTTGAAGACTCAGTGATTGAAAGTCTCCTGATAACGAGCAAGGCTCATGTGACCCAGTGGATCCGCACAGTGTACGAGGCAAGCTAGCCATCGGGCGGCGTATTAGTCTGTAAACACTGCCCCGGTGAGCGGCGGTCTTGCACCGGGACATGCCGGTACGTGCCGGCCACTGTAATTCCATACCCACGTAACATTTACACGGCAAGGCTCCATGTGCAAAACCCACCGGGGCGTTGTCCAAAGCGTTGCGGTTCAGCAGCACCGTCGATTTCGTGGATTGTAGTTGTGTTACTGTTTAATCTCCGTTATTATCGAGTCAGTCGGCTTCTTCAGTTGCAATTACAACCAGGCCATCACGGGTCGATATCCAAATCACTCAACCACTTGATTTCCACATTGTCGAGTTCAATCGACCTTGTCACCCTAACCTCCGAGCTGCCATCGTAAGGGTGGCCTCTCAACCACGTGGACGACTTGTGGCAGCTCCTCCATCACATGTTGTTGGGGTGGCAGACACACACACCAAAATAGTGCATCGTGCCAAATTGACACACCAGTCTGTTTTTTAAACTTTATCCAAGCCAGTGTAGCTAGCTGGGGCTGATTTACAAGTGTATATAGGGGCGCCACAGTGGTGAGATGTTAAATGCCTCGCCTGGTATACAGGAGGTCATGGATTCGATTCCGACCCTGTATATTTTGAGTTTTCATGTCTCTCTCCCTGTGATCGTGTTGATTTTTCTCTGGGTGCTCTGTTTTTTTTCTGCATTTAGAAACATGCGTTTTTTGAGTTTAGTTATAAATTTCCACGTGATAAGCCACTTCTTTAGGCTATCATTTGTGGCCAGGTCGCTTCTGAAAAGAGCTAGATCGCTCAGTGGGCCATACCTGATAAAATAAAATAACTATTTAAAGCTTTCGTGACTGCAATGATTCATCTTCTTTGGTTCTTTCGGTAAAGTCACGTAGAATGAGAATAAAATAATAAATTGATAAAATAAAATAACACAATAATATTCTCACGACGTTTCGGCCACAACACAAGCGGCCTTCATCAGGTGAAGGGACGAGACTGTCTGGTAGGACAGCGCTGGAGTGAAAGAGCCACGTTCAGATCACGACCTTTAAGCTGAGAGGAAACAAAGCGCCTTGACAAAGGAATTAGCATATAATTTAGCATTGAAATGGCTGAGTGACCAGTCACAAGCTAATCACTCAGCCATTTCAATGCTAAATTATATGCTAATTCCTTTGTCAAGGCGCTTTGTTTCCTCTCACACAGCTTAAAGGTCGTGATCTGAACGTGGCTCTTTCACTCCAGCGCTGTCCTACCAGACAGTCTCGTCCCTTCACCTGATGAAGGCCGCTTGTGTTGTGGCCGAAACGTCGTGAGAATATTATTGTGTTATTTTATTTTATCAATTTATTATTTTATTCTCATTCTACATGACTTTACCGAAAGAACCAAAGAAGATAAAATAACTAGTTTAGTTTTTTTTGTAGTGGACATATAAGGCGGTTTGATCCGAGTCCCAGGCTTTCCTGGCATCGTAGAGTAAGTTAGGAGCCGTTTGGAAATGTCTTGCGCTGATTGGTGGCAATAGTTGGGATAATTAACTCTGCTGTGAGCAGTGAGGCCCACGAGCTGCTGAAACGATGAAGGGTTACCTTGACATGGGCCTCGTTTGCATGGGTGGCACCAGGTTGATAGAGCTGGGGGTCTGATGAGCACTGCTGGTAGATACTTCGCAACATATGGTTTGTTGCAGCCAGTTGAGAGCCTCGATTCAGCAGACCTCTGCGGTAAAATTCAAGCAGGAAAATCGTAGCTACCAGTAGTTCTATGATGGTGCGGTTGGTCATTATTATTACATTAGCAGCAGTAGTTTGAGTCTTTGTGTGGAGCATTTCTAGTGAGCTGGGATTTTTATGTTGACTTTGTGTTTGTCTGGGTTTTAATTTTTTATCATACTTTTCAGAGAGTATGAGTCAGGCAATATGCACACAAAGCCCGATGTCTGGTGATTTGGCTTTTACCGTTCGATGTTTTTCACATTACTGCAAACCCATATCACTTTCCCGAATTGAGGCTTTTGGTTACACCAGCCTGTGACAGGAGACGGCAGTGCCTTAGCGTTGGTGCTTTTTGTGAGCTGTGGCTTGAGGCCTGCCTCCGTCCAGTGATTTATAATCTTAATTCGGTCTCGAAAAGCAGCGCAGATATCACTGTGCCTGTAGATAAAAGCTTTCTCGTAGCGGATACTTCATAGTGGCGATGCACAGCGCCTGTTTGCGTCACTCAACCAACCCAAGGTTTATGATGCGTCATATTGAGTAAGAAAGCCGAGATGGAAGCGGCATGTCTGAGGCACTG